GGGGCTGCCGACCAGATGTCCCTCCTTAGCCAACCGTCCACCGCCCACTCATACAGCAGACATCAGTTTACACAAAGACTTCCTTTTTTTAATCTATTTTATTTTCTACACATACAGTACATTGATTGACACATTTGAACCTTCCAGTGTCCTGTGTTCTCAGTGCACAAACAGTAGCTAAAAAGTAGTCGTGATTGTGAGACAGACCTCTCCTTCAGATGAAGTGAAAAAGTGAAACCATCTTTCTGACGTGTCCCGTTCTCCACCCAGAGAAATGTTATCTCCCGGCCAAATAAAACAGTGAGGCTGATATAGGAAATGTCACTGTAATTCATCCTGTGCCTCCAGGAGAACTGCAGCTGTTGTTCTCATGTACTTTACAGTAGCTCACCTTACCACACAGTAGATACGCTGTGGAGGAAATATTTGTTTTTTAATGAGTTTAGACAAAATGTTATTTTTGTTTTTAGAGCTTCAGTAAAAAAACAACAACTCTGCTTTATAACAGAATATATATTTGTCTTTTATTGGCCGTGATGTGGCAGCTCCTGTGTTGCTATGACAATGTATTTACTATATGACAATAATGACCAAAATTGAACACATCACATTATGGATCAACTCTATCGACACAGAGACAGCATGACTTCAATTAACCCTTAGTTTGCCCTTTGACCAATAGGACTTTTTTTTTTGGCTTATGTCAGTTGAAATCCCACTGTATATATTTAGCTCACATTATTTTTCTTAAAATGGCCCGTTTTATTTGCCCTGCTAGGTCCTAATGGTGACTGCCATGTTGGATTTTACCGTACCCCATTGCACACTGCGCTTTCTCAGTTTGTACCACGATAAATAAAAACCTTTGAGGACATTTATCCAATGATATGTTATATTAGCCCCGCAAATGCTGATGTTAAGTTGTCATATCGCCGCTTCACTGCGGACAAATGGCAGGTTTTGAAAGTAGCTAGCCTCATAGGTTAGCGACTACTGATAACATACTGTAACATATATTTGATGAGTCATTTTGGCAAATCATAAAACTCAGTTCTAGAAGAAAATGTTTAAAATAAAGGGGGGAAAGAAGAAAAAGGTAAAAAGAAATAGAATCTAATCTTTGGTTTTCGTTTCTTTCTAAGGCGACTGCCAGTTGACGGCACAACAGCAGGAAATGTGTGTGTGCGTGTGTGTTTGTAATGTGCATGTAAATTTATGCCTGCGCATGTTTGTGTGTGTTTGCATTTTATTCAGGAGCTGTTAGTGGAGCTTGGCTGGGCGCGGAAAGGAAGAGTGGAAGAGGAGGAAGAGGAGAAGACTGAGAAGGATGAGGAGGAGGAGGAAGAGGAGGGAGGGAGCACACACACAGACAGAGGCAGTGGAAACGAGTGTGACGATGAAGATGGCTGTGAAGCATCTGGTGAAGAGAAAGGTGGATCACACACACACACACACACACACACACAGTCCCAGTGACAAATGAGGGGGAAAAAGTGTTAAATCCCGTTCAGAAAGGAGTGATGTGCTGTCCTAAGGTTTTCTCTTATGTTAACCAGAGTGGGATCCTGTGCTGTGCCTGAGTATTAGTGTGTACTGTGTACTGTGTGTATGTGACCGTCACATGCATAATGGATAAAGGACAACACATATACATGTTCACTGGGACAGTGGAGGCAGTGAAGGTTATTAGGTTTTGCAGTATTCACATATCTTGTGCCAACAGGAAATGCCCAGAGGCAGAGGTGGATCACACACACACACACTCACATACACACACACTCTCTCTCTCTCTCCCTCTCCCTCTCTCTTTCTCTCTCTCCCTTTTCTGCTCCTCTCAGCAGTTTTTATTTTTTCCCTTCTTCCAGGATAAATGATGTACTAATAACCAGGTCACTCCAAAACAGAAATGAAGGAAGACAAATCTATAGTTATTCATTTGCCTCCTGACTTATTCGCGGTGCCTACACTGATACATAAAACATGTGCGATGTCACAGAGACGTCAGACGGACCCAGAGGTCGGGACGCAGGGAAATTGAATTAGAAATTTGGTAAAAAAAGATTATAAGTTTATAAGAAAACCTTCCTCATTATAGTTAGGCTAAACAGTGCACACACCATAAATATAAATGCATGCACACATCCTAATGTACATTAATATATACTGAATTCTGTATAATATACAGAACTGACCAAGTTTAGACCAACAACCACATTTGGATTAAACATTTCAAATTTATCATATTTTTTTGAATAATGCAAAATTTGTCATTAAAGCCTTTTTTTCTATTTGAATCAATTTTGCCTGATAACTGACTCCTTTTCTACAAAAGCTGATGGACATTTTTCATCTGTCCTTTACGTTCACTGTTCAGTACATAATGATCCGCAGTAAAGACTGGTACAGGCCGACCAGTGCCTGGTAAGAAAACGGTTGGGAATCTCTGCCTTAGAAGTACCAGGCCGGATCCAAGTACTGCTACTGGAATCAGTACAGCTGATACACAGACACGCTGAGGTTGTTTCACTTCCCGTCAGATTGTCTTCATTCATTAACTGTTGTAAACCTCCAGTGACTGTACGTCTGTGACGCTGACGGCTCCCGACATGACAACACTGTTTATCTGTCATATTATCTGTTGTCTTGTCCTTCATCACAGCCTTATTTAACTGTTCCAGAGGTAACATCTGTGTTGGTACATTTGTCACACTCCTCCACTAACCTTGATGTGTCATATCTGTGGAGAGTCACACCTCCCACTGAGCCTGAAACTGGTACGTTGGCTATTTGCGGAGAGAATTGCTGGTTATGATTTAGCGAGCTGGTGGCGTCGCTTTGGGATCCGATCAGAGGATTCCTGAAGATAGAAATCCACAATAACGAGTGTCAAGAGGGCGGGGGGGGGGCAGGTTCTGCACATCTATCTCCTCTACGGCATCGTTGTGCATATAAACAAGGCTCATGTGTAGGAGGCTGATTATCAACCAGAAATCACAACGATACACAGTACAGTTCATTTAACATTCATTATCACAGTGTCTGTAGGTTATATTGAGCTCTGTAAATCTGCCACTAATGTGTGTATTACACCAATCAACACCATACTATGAGCAGATGTTGTAAATCTGGCTCTGGAGCCGTCATCCATGCTCTCTGACCCTGTGTTTTTAAAATTCAGCTCAGGATTTTAAATATGATTGGCTGAGACGTAAAACTTATTATTTTATAGGATGGACAAGCTAAGAGCCTGAATTCCTTTGTGTACATGTATGCACAAATGGATGGTGTGTGTGTGTGTGTGTGTGTGTGTTTGGTTCTGACAAGTGCTTTAGGTATAAGATTAATTGTTTGCAGACTGAGCGTTTTTGTCTGCAGGCACTTAATTGCTCTAAACTTGAAACTTTGTTTTCAGAAAAGTTGTTAGACCTCGTAAACATGCAGTTTAATCCAGAGTCTGTATGTTGAAATCACAAAAGATAAAGAAAACCTTGGATTTCTTGGTTTTTTGGACTCTCCTTTCAAACTGAAATTGAATTGTTCATATTAATGCTTTGTTGTTTTTGTTTTTTAGATTTAATTCTTTTTCTAGTATGTAGCAAATTTTCCAACTCCCCCCGCTCTATTCCTGTTCACTCCAGGTTGACATATGCCTTCTACATTAGTCTAATCCACCAATGTTCTGACAGTGTGTGTTTGAATTAGTTCTCCAGACATCTGTGTCTATCTACAGGAGGTTTGTTATTTAGTTTGAGCCTCTTTACTTAGCAGGGTGGATCCAGTACACAGAATAATAGTCAATATGATTTAGAACTATTTTGGTTATGAAAGCGAGTTGATCCCACTTCAGAGAGAAAACAGAATCACTTGGCAAACGCCACAGCTTCACAGCTTGAAAACAAAGACAAAAGCCAAACATTTTACTACAGTTAAAAGTCTGTGCCAATTTGTTAAACAAACAAGGCATTAAAATATAACAATTCACCAGAATCTGTCCTATAGGGTCACATTATCTGTTTTAATTTTATGGGTTTTCACTTTTATCATTATTATGAATTGACACTCGTGGGTCGGAGATAGTGTTAAACACTGTGGAGGATTTTCTCTTCTTACCTCGTCTTTTGTCATTTGCTCATTCTCACTCCCTGTTACTCCGGTTTTCACCGAGATTATACTGATTGATTTTCTCCCCCTCAACCCAGAGCGGTCCCTTCTTCAGCTGCCCTTCCCTCGATCTCTGTCTCCCCAGACGTATCTGGGTCCTGCAGCGTCAATAATGTAAATGTAATCACATATTCTCTCTTCTCCTCTCCTCTCCTCTCCTCTCATCTCCTCTTCTCTCCTCTCCTCTCCTCTCCTCTCTTCTCCTCTCCTCTCCTCTCCTCTCCTCTCATCTCCTCTTCTCTCCTCTCCTCTCCTCTCCTCTCTTCTCCTCTCCTCTCCTCTCCTCTCCTCTCTTCTCCTCTCCTCTCCTCTCCTCTCCTGTCCCCTCTCCTCTCCTCTCCTCTCCTCTCATCTCCTCTCCTCTCCTCTCCTCTCCGCTCCTCTCCTCTCCTCTCCTCTCCTGTCCCCTCTCCTCTCCTCTCCTCTCCTCTTCTGATAATTGCCCTGTTATATACTGAGATGTGGAGGATGCAGAGTTGAAAATGCTGTTACATAAAGTGTCCGATGAGTCATTGTACGACCATTAATATTAAGCTAGAAAATAATAACGTGACGATCCTTGTCTGTGAACTCTCAGACAATCATTTTAGTTTTTGTTTTTAATTCTCTTCACTAAGTATATTTGAAATTGTTGACAAATGTATATTTGTGTAGGCGTGTGTGTGTGTATAAAAGAGAGAGAGAGTACATATGGACTCCGGGGGGGCACTTCATCCCTGTAACCATGGTTACCAGGTGGTCTGCCCTCCCATGGGTATCTAATGATGACAATGGAGGTTGAGGAAGAGGGTGATAGGAGCTGCAGGGTTGTGTTGTACTTTGAGCTACATTTTTTGGCCAATTATATTTGAACATGGCGCTCTGTTCTGTGGCTCCCTTCAAGAAGCTCCACACATATTTGAATATATTATTCAAAGTTAGAGAGAAGGAGGTGAGACGGGGGGTCGAGTCAGATGGAATAAGATCAGATACAGTATGAGATCAGAAATGACACATGAGACGAGATTAGTGGAATTAAGATTAAGCATAAAATGAGATTATATGAGATGAGACAAATTAAATGAGTGATAAGATTAGATATGAGATGAAACAAGATTACTGTAGTGTGTGAGAGGACACGAATCACAATGAAATTGGATGAGTTAAGAGACAAGATTGAACAGATGAGATAAGATAAGATAAGATAGCACTGTAACTTGTTTTATCATCAAGAGTTTTGTAAAGAAGAAAAAAACATGTGATGAGGATATAAAATATCAAACAAAATGATCTGAAAGAACATAAATGCATTTTCATATAAGGGTTTCTCCTCGAGTCCTAATGGTGCTGAGAGTCTAAAGCGTCTGCTTCTGTATTTGCTGCCTTTAAACTGGTCCAGTGGTAATGGCTCCTGTTCTCTGTGCAGGACGTTGTTTTCATCAATGGGATTTCTGCATGCACTTTTTTATTACTTTTGTAACATCGACGGCTTTGAGAGACTGCAGACGTTTACTTCCCATAGACCGCCGTGCTGTTTCACTGAAGTTGCTATTTGTTATTTTAGTTAGATGGTTAGGGAGTTATTCCACGCTGCCTCGGAATTGAATTTCGCCTGGTAAAATAAATCATGTTCTTCTCATGGACACCAAACGGTCCAAACGTCTTCAGAAAATGAACTCTATCAGGCAGCAGCTTCACTTTAGCTTCCTAGGCTGCACTAACCGCCATATAGACAATATAATATTATCCGTGCACTGCTGAAGCATATTTCCATTTATTGCCCTGCTCCTATACATCTATATCTTTCTTCCATCATCTTTACGCTGCTCCACCGCACCCCCCGCCCGCCCCCTCCCTGGGGCCACATTCTCAGAGCCTTTAGAAGCTGTTCCATCTTAAAGTGAAAGGCCTGTGTTTCAGTGCTTTAACATGTTGCCCCCGTGCCCGAGGACAGTTTGATCTGCATTCGTAAGCATCCTTCGCTCTGTAAAGGGAGCCAGAAAGAACAATAAAGGAGTCTGGTGAGCCTCCTAATCTGCACTGGTAGCCATAAAGGTTCCCAGAGTGAGCCCTTGGATAGGATTGATCAGTGCAATAAAACAAAACCGCTTTCTTTATACATGTTTACTGGAGAACATTAGAGTGGAACACATGCCACGGACACGGCAGCTTGAGTCTAGAACTCTAGGCTGAAACATCTTGGTTCGATTTTTCACATTATGTCCATAGTTATTTGGAAAGTCCAAGAAACACTGAGTCCAAACTGCGTTTGTTACCATTGAAATTATCCCT